GTTAGGGCTGAGGGGTTACTTGAAGGTTTTAACATGGGTAGCCTGCAGAACCCTATGGATAATCTCACGGGTGGTTAGTTGGAACAGGAGAATGGATCCCCATCATAGCCATCTTCTACCCCTCGAACAAAGATGGAACCCCGGAAAAGACGCTGCATAAGCTACTGGCCGCTAAAACGGGAATATATGGGGTGCCATCTTAGTTTTGGGGAGGGTAATTCTCAATACCATGCGTCAGAAAGAACCCATTGGAGCTTTCCATTCCATTTTCTCTTGCACTCCTTCCTTCCATGCCACCGCCAGCAAATAATTAGGGCTTACGCAGGTCAGACGCCTGTGCAGAAATACACTTCCAAAAGCTCCCAATTGGACTGTCGGGGGGCTTAGTAAAAGGAGGAGCGGAGTTAAACAATGAGTTTGGGTTTTAAGGCTTAGAAAGCCATACGATAGCCTAAGCCATCCACCTTATGAACCTCCTTACTACCCGCATGACCATCCAACCTTGTACATTGGCTGAAGAGTTTCGCTTTGCAGCTTATGCCCTAAACTCTAAGCCCCTAAATCCTAGATACGCTAAGTTGCAGGGTCAAGGGCCGACAGTCTGGAATCCAGGGCTTTAAGGCTCGCCCAGACCCCTGGGAAGATCCAAAAACTAGATCCTCTATAGAAACCCATAATAACCCCGTTTAGGGTTAAGGGCTTAGAGTTTAGGGTTTAAGGCCCTTACAATGCTACAGTATATCATTCCTCATATGGTTCTACAGGATCCACTTCTGAGATCCGTGCGGGGATCTGGGTAGGGCTTGGTTTCCAGTTTAGGGTTTAGGATTTACATGACGTGTTCAAAGCATGAAAAAAACACAATTGGGAAGTTCGATAAATAAGGGCACCCCAATATAGGCCCCCAAATAACCCTTCTTCTGGCGAGCCCCAGAAAGGCACCCCTAAATTTCGGAAGCCCCCCATCAAGTTGGAGCTCGAGCAGAAGGTGGCAGACTGGCTGGCAACAATTTGAAGAGCCCCCTGTGCCACCCAACCAACATTGGGCTTTGGGATATGTAGGTGTAGCACCCCAGAAATGGAGAATCAGATGGAAAAGAACATGGAAAGTCATGTGGAAACTGGGCTTAGCAAGGGTTAACTACTACATTTGTCATCCAACTAGTACGGGGTGGGGGTGCAGTATCCAACCAATGAAGGCTATCTACTGAATCGATGTCCCTCAGGAGAAAAGTTTCTTGAACTGGCTGGACCTGTCTTGCTGGTGCATGACGGGGGTGGGGGAGTGCATATGAACACTACTCTACATGCCCCGGCCCATAGGAAAATCTAACCTGATCTGCCGACATAAGCCCGAAATAACCTCATAGAACCCCTATATAGTTCCTCATATGGCTTTGGAGGGTCTATTTTTTGTTTGATCCCTTTGGGGGTGTGGTGTGGGTTTCCTTAAAGGATGCAATCCAGCACTCTCCCGTAAGCCAAGAACACCAGTGAGTTGTGAAGCAGCTGTCTACACCTAGAACCTACGGGGGGTACCCTTCTCTCAACTTACATGGGAACCCCTGGAGCATTCTTAAAAGGACAGCAGTATCTGATCTAAGGTACCCTGTGGCCATCGATATCAGCTTGAAGGAGGGCAACCCATCCCAATCTTCTCTGGGTGTCAAAACCTAGGGATTAGCAAGTTCTTTAGGCGGGAGGTGGTTCAAGGGGGTAGGAAACGTATAGTGGTCTCCAATACTCCCTCGTACCCCAGAACCTACCCCCTGAACCAACCGCATGGACACTTAGGGTGTGCTTAGTTGTTTAGGGAAGTTGCCATGCTCCTTGTACAGCCCCTCTGCATGCCTGAGTTTTCAGTATCTCTGCTTGGGAAACCTTAATTGAGGGTTCCGGGGTTGTACCCCTAAAATGTTTCCCCAGTAAGACCTTAATATAGTCCTCAGTTTGCTAGGGTCCCTCAAAAGGATCCCAACACCCAGGATTACAACCCTGGCGGTACAAGTCTGAAACCCTTGACCCCTAAACGAACCCCAACTGCAAGCCGGCCGCCTGAGTTGTTCCTGCCGGTGCGACTTTGTGCGACCCATAGGAGACGACAATGATCTTCCTGCAAAAGGAGCTTTAGGCAGCTGCTGGCAGGTACTGATGGCGCTACTCCTGAAAATGCCCGTGCTCCTCCCAGAAACTGAAATGGTGGGGGCCTTTAATTGGGGGTACCTACTGCAATATCGACCCCAAAATCCTATTTGGACTTGGGAAACCCTCAAATGGGTTCGCTGAGAACTTCAGCTCTTGAAGCTGAATTCTGGAGCTTAGGTCCCTTGAGTCCACGGGGCTTTGCCAAGCCCAAAACCTATGTCAGTCACATGGGTGGTTGTCAAAATTGTGGTCCCTTTTTGGGCACGCTGAATATTAGGTGCCGTATTATAATAGGATCCAAAAAGAGACCATAATTCTCACAAGCACCCACGTACTTCTGCCAGCGGCTCCCATGTAGTTCCGTTTGGGGAGTTGACATCCCTGAGCAGAAAAACAATAGCAAACCCAAAAGGGAGCTCTTGGGTAAAGGCTTATGACCACAATCCAACCCCAGCACACTGCAACTCATTGTCCCCGGCGTAGTGCGCTCACGTAACTGTAACCCCACTAGATCCACAATAACAATGCTGTTGCTAATAACTCCTTAAGGTTATCCTATAAAAAGATGAAAATACAAATTCCAATGGAGACTACAGGTAACAATAGGTGTGCCGATTTAAACTTAAACCTTACGTTACTGGACTCCGCATCTGTGGCGGGGCTTCCTATTTCGCTGTAAAATCCTGGTGGCTGGAAAGACATGAGATAGCCTAAACTCCTACTTTCTTGTTTAATAGCCCCTACAATAATCCCTATTTAAATCCCCTTCAAAGAATTTGGAGTATAGCTCACGTAGGGAAGCCCACACCCCTTCAAAGAAGACGGGCCTGGTCTTGTCTGTGCCAAACACCCCCTCCCCCCCGGGGTCACGTTACCCCTAAACAGTCCCAGTTCCGTTGAAAAGAAGCTGGGATGCATGGCAACTTGGGTTTAGGGTTTAAGGTTTAGGGTCCATTTCAGTTCATCTTTACTTTTCCGTGCCGTTTGATTCTCCATGGCTGGGGTAGTTTCCCCAAGCCTTGCAGAATCCCAGTATGAAGCAATATAGACCCTGTAAGGCCCCTGTATAACCCTAGAATACTTGATCCCCAACTGTGATGCAGTAGGTAGCCTGACCCAGAAGCATGCTAAGTTCAAAATTCGGAAGTGTGCCAAAACCTGAGCCATGCAGGTTCTGAAAGGCCCTGTAAGCCCCAAGGGTTAAGGGTTTAGGGCGAGCAAAGGACCCTTTTGACACCCCGAACCCTGAACCCTAAACCCTTTAAGCCCTCAACCCTATTCCCTCAACCGCGTGGCAAGCCGGCCTGAACGGGTGAGTTCCGCCCAGACTTTGATTGAAGCGGTCGAAGACCCCGCTGGATCCGTCGAAGCTAACAGCTGCTAGGGTGACCTGGGTTTAGGGTTTAGGCCGTAGAATTTTCAAAGCTGGGTGTATGTTGAGCCTTGGACCTCAAATCTCAACCCTTAACACCGCCAAACCCTAAAGCCACTTTTTTGGACCTCTGAAGGATTACAAGGTTTCAGAGCTTAGGATTGGGTATTTGAATTAGAGCTGCGGACATCCGGCTCAGGATTTAGAGACTTCTGCCCTTGGACGGACCGTGGCTTGGGGAATTACAGCAGGCTTATGCAAGTCCTTGCTACTCATGGGTTCCCCAAAGCCCTAAAACCTACTATTCCCCACTTTACTACACCCCGAGGTTCTCTCTTGATGAGCCATAACCATCCTTAAGAAACTAACTTTAAATAAGCTGCAACCTATGGAGGGTAGCGTTTAGGGTTTAGGGATTTAGGTTTAGGGTAAGGAAAGCCATAATCGAAGGATTTTAAGTTAAACCATGTGGTTTGAGAACCTTCCACCCGGTGTAAGGTTTACGGCTTTAGGGTTTGGGTAACGTCAGCTTTCAAGAGATCGTGCCGCTCTTCAGCACGTAAGGCTTTGGGAAATTGAGGTTTTAAAGATTCAGGCTCCGCCCTAGTACAAACTAAACACATAAGGTACTATATTGGCGCACAGTATAAGGTTTAGGATTCAGGGAGTTCAGCCCTAAACCTGCAACCCTCAAGCCTGGTCTAAATGCTGTAAACCTTCTTAGGGGACCCCAAAAAAGATACGCACCAATCCCCAATATACATAGGCTAAATCGTAAACCCTAAGCCGGATCCTAGGGTTCGATCGGCTTTGACCTGCAGTGCAGGTTGGGGATGTTTAGGATTCCGGACCCTTAGGATTAGGGCTTAGGGTTTAGATTTCTAGCTTAGGTTTTTGGGGAGCCCTTGGGAGACGTGGGCGCGCCTATGGGAGTCCCTGCACCTCGGTATGCTTACATGTTCTTGGAGGGGAATATGGGAATATAGTCCTCGGGTTTAGGATTTAGGGTTCCTATGCTCTAGATGACCCCTATACAATATGTTCCGCTATTCCCTGCTAAGAACATGCGGGGCTTGGCCTAGACTACTGATCCCGAAATTGGAAGTATCTAAACAAACGCCCATTTACTGTAGTGGTGAGATTTGGTAATTTGGTGCCGCTTCTTAGCTAGAGACGCCGCTGCACGGGCGTGGCAGGAATGGTCCTTCTGAAAAGGGTTAACTAGGGTAGGTTTGGGGTCCTACGAGAATCATGTTTTGGCTGTACAAGGATGATATAAGGTACGAGAAGTTAAGAATATGTGAAACCTAACCCTGTTATCAGGGATTAGAATCTGAATAGGACAGCAACTAAGATTTTTCCCTCCAATAACATACAACAATGAAAAATACAACAGCCGGTGCGTGGACGTAATCTTGTTCTCCTTAAAGTAGCTGAAGCCTAGAGCAGTGTCGCAAGCCTTGTGTCGCCGGAAAGTAGCAGATCAGGAACAGTAGCAGAACCATGATGGGATCTTTGCCCGAATTCGCCATCTTCCTTCATTGGCCGTCAGAAGCCTGACTACAGCCTCATGGCCCTCCGGTTTGTGCCGAGCAGCATGTACTAACATCAAGGCCGTGCAAGCACGGTTATCTTTTGCATGTATGTCGGCATGGTGCTCTAACAGCAGCTTGGCCACAGTCGGATGGCCACCCACGGCTGCATCCATGAGCGCTGTTCGACCGCCGACGCGGCATGCCCCTACATCAGCGCTATTGTCCAAAAGCAGCTTGGCCACTCCATCCTGGCCAGCCGAAGCAGCGGATATCAAAGCAGCGCTCAGTTCCTTTGCATCTGCACAATGTTTGAGCAGTAACTTGACTATAGCCTGATGTCCACCAAAAGCGGCCCCCATTAAGGCTGTGCGACCACTTAAGTCTACTGCCTTCACGTCCGCGCGATGTTCCAACAGCAGCTTGACGACTGCTTCGTGTCCGGCAAAAGCACCAGCCATTATGGCATTACGTTTGTGCTTATTGGCTGCCCGTACATCTGCCCCATGTTTAAGAAGGAGCTTGGCGACGGCCTCCTTGCCGGCTGCCGCCGCTAAGATCAAGGCGGTGCTTCCATAATCGTTGGCTGCACCTGCATCAGCAGCGTGCTCCAAAAGCAGCTCTGCCACGGATTCATCTGAAGCCCTGGTGAGCAATTGGCCTAGCCAACCTTTCTGGTCGCTTTCTAGCTGGAAGCTGTCACAAATCTGTTCAAGCTGCTCCCTGCTAAAAGCAGCTCCATGAATGCAGCACTTGGCTGCTGAAGCATGCTGACCCCTGGCGAGCAGCAACTTGAGAATGCTGCTGGAGAGAAGCGAGCGAACATGATGGTCAAAGTCCAAGAAGTATTTGTGCAGGATTCCTTTTTGCATCGCCTCGATAAAAAAGTGCTTAGCACCCTGTGCTTCTATGGCAGACCTCCAGCATTTGTCAGAAATCTCCTGCCATATCCGGTACTTGTCTGCTGCCCTGGAACTTTCAGCTGAGGTGGCTGACACCTCCCACAGGGCTTGGCCCGTGTTTTGTAGCATCTCAGCCGCAGCAGGGTGTTCTTGAAAGGTTTCAGGTCGAGACAACGAGCCCATTGCGGAAATCAGTTCGAAAGGCCGCTGCAAGTCCTTCAAGCGTGAAACCTCAAATAAGCACCAGATGCGACGGAAGGGGTTGATCTGTTCATCCACAACCATCACAGCGCCATAAGTTGCTTTCGCCAAGGCTGCATTGAACGGGCCTTGCTGGGGGTTTCCTCCCACCTCCTCAACTGCTTCGTGCTGATTCAGCGCGAACAAACAGATCCAAAACACCAAAGACTCCGGGGTCTGTGCCGGGCTCCCGACTTGTACAGTTGGCAGCTGCACATCCTGTGACCACAAGCTAAGAGCCGTCAACGTATTGCCAAAATCATGCCCCCAGAAGTGAGACACAAAGCAATGGACGTAGAGACCCCAAGGGTTCACAAGCTCTGAGAAGGATGTGGTCTCAGTGGCAGCTGGGATGGACCGATCCTGGGCTAAACGTTTAATTCTTATGCCTTATCAGGGAATATATGGGGGTTTCCCAAAATTAGGGGTATCATTTGGGGGTCCTTATAGTAAGGACAATCGTATTTTGGGTTCTATATTGGGGTCCCCTTTATTCGTGAAACTATTATAGAAGGAGTATGACCTTGGCTCCATAAACAAAATCATTCCGAGGAATATCCCAAGCTCAACATCCTGTTCCCGTGCTGTACATCCGCTTGGCCTGGTCATAGGAGTCACCACGAAAGCGTCAAACGCATACCTGATCACTCATGGTGAACCAAGAGAGGCTAGGTGTATGCGCTGTATAATTTGGGAGGACCCCCCAACCCTGTACTGGTGGCATGGAAGAAATATAAGAGGACCCTAATCTAGTTCCATTCTCCCTTAAGCCACTATTACGGGGTGGGGGGTCCACGGGCGGATACCTAGGATGACCTCTCAATACACCTAGCCTCTCCTAGAATCTGTTCAGGAAAGGACGACAAGTTGTCAGAGATCATCGTCTTTTCAAGACAAGATGCCAAGGAACACGCTCACAAAACACATCCGAAACCGGCCCAAAGCGCAGACACAAAAAATGTACTAGATCCCATCGAGATACAGATTGGGGCTTTGCTTGAACTCCTCGCCCTCCTCAATCGCCAGCGCGTGCTGGGCGTTGAAGGCAGCGCACTGTGCAGCAAGCCAGCCGGATTGCAGGAACAAAGTTTCCAAGTGCTGTAACTGACCGAGAGCCATGCCCCGCAGGGAGTGCGGAACTGCTCCTCGATATTGGCAGACTTTGTGGGACCCTGCGTGGTTAGTAGTAGGTTATGGAACCTAGACAATGAGGGGTTACGATATGGTTGAAATGGACATTACATGGGGATAGAGGATATCAACTAACTCAAGAGTCTTTACAAGTACAGCAAGGTCGATCAAATTTTGGGGAAACACCTTTCCTCGAAATGCTCAGGCTGCGACAGGGATGGGAAACAAGAATAGCTTGATTTCGGGAGAAAGCGGAAATTAATCTCACCTGCTGACACTTAAGCAATAACCAACAGCCTCCCAGTTACTTGATTCATTTGGGTTGCATCAGCAAGCACTTCTCCTCACAAAGTTGCCTGACTGGCGGAGCTAAAGCCATACAATTCCGCAAATATTCCCCCATACTAGCCCAACCAATTAGGCACAATTCAACGCATTGGCCTCAAAAAGTCAAAGGCTCTTCGCGTCTGCGGCCGATCTGATCTACGAAGCTTGTCCACCATGGCAGAGAAGCGTTTGATGCTGATGCGCGGCCCATCCATCAACCGCCGGAGCTTATCCTGCTCGAACCTGAAGCCAAACACCTTTGCCGCTCGCTGCAGCTCTTGCACGTCCAGGTCCCCTGAGCCATCCACATCGCAGCAGCGTGCCACGAAGTCTGCATCTTGCAGCTTCTGTTTCAACTCGCCACTGATCTTCAACAACGCCGCCTGCCAGCCGCTTGAACATCTCGCAGCGCAGTGTATGAAATCCTCAGACAGCGACTCCTCCAGCAACATGCCAGGTGTAAAGGCTCCGTCCTCACGGTAGTCGAACAACATTGCTGGAAGGAAAGTCAGAGCAATCAATATTGCAAAGCCGTATGAGGTGCTCTGTGCACGATGTCTTATGTATTCTTGGGGTAGGGCCACCACACAAAAAAGCGGGATGTTCTCAACCCAAAACCCCCCAACCACACCCACAGGCTAGGCGGGAAATCTCAGTTTGCTCAACCGAAGACCACTAGCCGTACTATAGGATGAGAGGGAGGAGACATTGACGGGGCGAGGGGTAGGGGGCGGCGGCCGCGCCTGGAAGATATATATATATATATTTGCGTGTATACATATACGTATATATACGTATATACATATGTGTACATACGTGAATGAGGTCTCTGCTAGGGAGGCTGACTGAATTCTTTGGTGGGGGAGTGCTTACTGCGAGGTGAGAGGGGTTCATGTTGGGAGGAAGAGGTTATTTTGTCTACGCCATCTGCGTCTGGGAATAAGAGCCGGGACCAAAGTGGCAATGCTTGCCGCGCAAGGATGGCTGTATGCTGGGTGACTAGGGGATCGATCTTGCAAACAGTAACACTGTGCGCGGTTACCAGAGTAATATATAAAGGCTAAGAAGCTGCAACCCAGTATATGGGTAACTGGCCTTCTGGGTAAGACACACAAACTGCGGTTTTATGGGTTTCCAAGCCTTGGGCCTTGGCGTATCAAGCACAACTCTTTAACCTATGTTAAGAGGTTTAGGGTTCAGGGAACCACTCAATTTAGCGGGGCACAGTAGTAGAGTCTGAAATCAGGTGCCATGATTGCAAGTCTTAACTTGCTTTGATGCTCAACAAGGCTGCTTTAACTAGATACAACTCTGCAACCAAAATGCCCTTGCGGGTCGAATATTGGTATTGAAGACTTGAAACTGTTTGTTCGGGTAGCATGTTCAAGTGTCTCAGCCTTTGAAGAGCTTCAAGGCTGATGCATGTTTCCTCCAGTTCTAGGCCCCGGAACCCCTACACCCCGGACTGCTCGAACCACTGACCCCAACCTTTGAAGCTTGATCCCTACGAAGCCTAACACTCAGTACTTCATGGAAGAACGGGTCACCTTGCTCAGTCTCATCGGAGGTTTATGTGAGGGGTCTTTGCGCACATATGAAGGTCTCTCGAAACAGGAGACAACTTGAAGGACCCTGGGATACTGGGATATTTGGGAATATGCTGTTCCCTTAGATGGGTTGTCCATGGATGTCAAACTTACAGCTTCCCTAATGGCGAAACTACGCCACAACTACGCTCTGCAGGCCACAGATTACGCGAGCATTCTTGCAGCATCACTTCCATCATAGACCTTACATATCTCAAAAACGCTACTCATATGAGAATTTGTCTTAGCTAATGTTCCCAAAGTGGGCGGTACCACCACTCCACCGTACAGTGATAGTGGCCCACAGATAAACCCCATTGCAAGAATACATCACCGTCTTCATGCTATACGTTTCGACATGTCTCGACGTTCTATTAGAGCCCTCGATATATATATATATGTGTGTGTGTACATATGTGTGAAATTGCCCGAAAATGTGGGGGGGAGTGTTCCTTCTTGGGGGCGTTGTACGGACTCAAGTGTATTGAGTCGATCTTACAGTGTCTTACAGCCCCTTGTTTCTGGAACCAATTATCTACATCCATCTACATCCCCTCAAGGAAATATCTAGTTCCCCTAAATCCCCAGCCCTACTGTGGATAGAGGAATTCTGGCACCACCTAATTTAAAACCTATACCGCAGTATCTACAGTCACTTTGGGGAAGTGGTGCAACATGTTCTACACCTACCGGGAATCTACCGTATGCAGATCCTTAAAATTGCACCCCCAACCCTAAACCCTATAAACCGCAACATATAGGATCTACAGAGCTTGCAGGATTCTCCGAAGAGGGGGGTACCCTTCAAGACTGCGAGAGCCTTGCAGGGAATCTACTATTGATGTTGGGTTTATGGCTCAGGGCCTTAATATCCAACAATATCATTTTAAGGTTTATATTCGCGGTAATCATACAAGGAATTTAAGACCATCGTGTTGGTTGTTCTTCAGGCTTGTACATGTACATTAATTACGGGACTGTAGGGATCTCTCATAAGAGGATTGGATTGCAGGTGGATTTTTAAAAGCCTGCCCCATGCCAGTACGCATAGCCTTTCGCCAGGGCACGTCTGTGTCATTCAAGTTCTGGAAGATGTTCGACACGGCGCCGTGGCGTATGTATGCTCCAGTATCGAAGCCTGAAAGGCAAATGTCAGGTTCTCCCAAAAAGTCCGGCCACAACTGATGCACAAAACCATGGGATCTATGCTATGAAATACATGGATCTTTGGCACTTGACTTCATCCGTGTCAGACTGCGTTGAGATTGAAATAGAACCCGTCTTGTCTACAAACCTATCTGAATAAGCATGCTGATCTATGGGTACTGTAGCATCTTTGGTTTCTGGTCCCCCAACGTGGACACCAAACAAAAAATACATCTTACATAACCATGTACACAGAAAATGTCCCTAATGAACCCTACATACACTCACGAAAGACCATAGTCAAAACCCTACTTCATCAACTTCTGCTTGGAATCCATGGTAACCAGGGAAAAGAACATGGAAACTACACTATGACTTGGGGTTTAGAGTTTCGGGTTTAGAGTCACAGGATTAGCACATAGGTTTAACAATGGACATAACTCGAGTTATTATATTGCTTATAGGGTGTTTAAATTATCACCCCAATAATTATAGCAGTTTCCATCTTATTTTGCATTATCCTAATATAACCCCAGTATTACCCCAATGGGGTCGGTATATTTCGCAAGCCCCCTGAGGTTCCAAGCACGTAGCACACCAGCCACCCCTCAAGAGCGCTCCCTAAACCCGCCTTACAACGCGGTTCAGGGCTTAGGGTTTAGGGCTTATGATTTCGGGCTTAGGCCTTGGGTTTAGGGCTTAGGGTTTCCGTTGGGTCAGGATGAGGTAAGCCCTGTAAGAAAAACTATGGCATCCCGACATGACGCGAACTTCAAAATGCTGAGAGAGCAGCTGGTGTTGAGCAAAGTGTTTGCATAGTTGCCTTTGTTGCGGCGGTCATGGACCATGGGCACTCACAAGTATTGCTGGCACGCAGGTTCTAGATAAGGTGGACCCCCCCACGCAGTAACAGTGACAATAAGGGACACTGCGGATTTTACTAAGGTTCTCGTATTTTCTATTCTACCGCTATTACAGGGTGGGGGGTCCTCCTAACTTCTAGATGTTGGTGGTGGTTTCTTCTCCTCATATCCATTTAGCGTCCTTGCCTGGCAAGGTTCCGGGAAATTTCACCTTCAGGCCTACCTTTGACAACGTGGGAAAAATCCCAGCAACAAAGCCTCACGGAAGGGAAGAGATGTAATAATTGTGTGGCTGCCGGAGGCTGTGGGCGCTTGTTTGGCAATTTCGCTATTGTCGAAAATCCCTATCACCTGTACGATGAACCCCTATACATGCTCAAATATCCCCAATGTCGATTGCATTTTTTGATTTCTTGTCCATTTGATTCTTCATTGTTGGGGTAATATCCGTTTTCGACAATGGAACCCAGCACTGTCAGGGACCCCACTTCAAAAACCTCAAAATGCTGTATGCCACCATCAGCGACCCTAAACCCTGGGAACCTAAGCCCTAAACCTTCGAAGGTCAGGGGGGCTTTGTAAGTTGTAGTCAGCATACCTGCAACCCCTCCCGAAAGCCATATGCTAGCTGCCATGTAAGAGCTTGAGTGGCCCCTGCCATAAACCCATATAATCCTACTCGTCACCTCTCCCTGACCCCCAAGCAGCCCTCAATTGCCCGTCCAGAGTCCCACCAGCAAGGAATCTGCCATGTACGCGTCCTCAAGGGGCATCTGTCTGTGACAGTCCCCATCACGAATGGCCCTAACGCTTAACCCTAAATATGCGGTGTCGGAACGCCAGAGCCCAGGCCTTAGGACATATGGTTAAAGAGACCCCGTACAGGGAACCCCGAGAATATAGTGGAAATAACATAGGACTGGGAAGAATATGAGCACCCTGGCAAGCATATTCCCATCATATTTATAGTATATTCTTGAGGTTCCCTGTTTGCGGTTCCCATTACAGTCCTTTTCATGGTAGTGTCCAAAAGAGGGGACCCCAGTGTACACCCCAATATACTATGATCCTTATTCTTTATCATGGGGACTCCCTGAATGGCATCCCCCCAATCTTTGGAAACCTTTTCGGGAGATCCTTAGGGATCCAGATAAACAAAGTGTTGGGTTTGGGGGGTTTAGAGTTTAGGGGTTTTCTGGGACTCAATTTAATGAGAATGTTGACATTAGGGTTTATGGGTTTAGGGTTGGTGTTTTCGATGCGTAGCAGTATTGGCATTGTGGTAGAGGCGCTAAAAATCGTAAGAACATTTTACAGAAATCACCTGTTCGGTGCTATCTTGTGAAACACCTGCTTAACTTAGATCTAGCGGAGACTTGAATGCTCCATACCGGTCTTACCGGCAGTTGGTAGGAAATCGAGGCCCTCCGACATTCTGCACGGGGGTTTCCTAAAATTAGCGGTACCCTTTAAATGGGAGTTATAGGGGTTATCTAGGGCTATACAGGGTTATATGGGGGTATATAGGGTATAGGGTTTCCCAAAATTAGGGGTACCTTGTTGGAGGTCCCAATAACAAGGATTCTAGTACATATTTTGCGCCCCCCTATTTAGGGCAACTACCTTATGCGATCCCCTATCATATGGTGGACGAAGGAAATCTTGAACCTAATAGGATCCCTGAACTACTACAGTCCATTCATCTGGGTTTAGGGTTCAGGGTTTCGATCTGGGGAAAGGTTAGGTGGACCCCCACCCAGTAATAATGACGATGAGGGATACTGGCAAGCATACTAGGGTCCTCTTATGGTCCAATTCTACCACTATTACAGGGTGGGGGCTTCTCCTGACGTATAG